GGATTAGTCATAAAGAAAGAACCACAGGTGCAATCACAGATACATGCACTAGAATGTTGATTACATTATTATTCCTATGTAGTTCAAAAATATGCTGAAATCCCCTAAATATCCAACAATATGACAAGTGCAATGGACACATTATTATGCAGCCATTAATAATGATGACATGGAAAATGCTCAGGATATTTTGTTACAGTAAAAAAAAAAGATGCGATACTATATTCTTACATTATTCTAATTTTATTTGTATAGCATATTGATACATGCTTAGATAGAAGACTAAAATAGTTTTACAGTAGCATAATTAAGGGTAATTTTTATTTATTTTTTTCTATAGACAACATATATTCATGAAATGATCACTTGCTAATAATCAGAGGAAATGTCATTAGAAAATATAATATAGAAGCCATAAAGCTTGTAGAAGGTTATAGTAACTTCTCAAAGTATATATGAGTGAAGCTTTCCTCACTCTCTCTAAAGCTGGCAATTCTACTGTTTCTTGGGTTCTTCCTCTCAGAGTGAAGAAATCCTAATTAGCAAATTCATACTTAGATATCTAGGCCTTACTGAACTTGTTTATTTGAAAATATCATCCTTTAAAAATGACTCCAAGGGAAATGAAAAGAATTTATGTTGCTAAGTGATGTGATGATGGTTCTATTAAAGCATCAGTGGGAGAACTATTTCAGAGCACAGACATTTGGAGCATTTTCAAATAAGGCTCCGAGACAGACACTGCTAACAGTTCACCAAGTTTGTGTTCTTATCTTCTTCCTGGGCACATGAGCCTTCTCTTGTGGTTTGGGGTGGACATATTAAGTGATTTCTCACCAAAAAAATAAGAGTGGAAAGGATATGTACCACCTTAAGACCTGGTCCATAAACACCTTTAATGCTCACTCTTCAATGTCTTTTTCTCCTTCAGATTAAATGATCACATAGACGCCACATGACGACGGCCAAGCTTTCATTAGCCTCTGTCCCTTAAGAACTCTGATCTGTTCCCCACCCCCCAAGACTGTTGGATAAGCAAGAAATATACTACATTCTTTTAAATTTATATATATTTAAGTTATATATTTGGGAGCATGTTTGTTACAGCAGCAAGAGTTAACCTAACACAGCCACATCTTTTATGGTATACACTTAGCTGTACGCAGGGCCTCGTCAAATTCATTCTTAATGGAGAGGTGGAGATACCTCTTTTGTGCAGAAATGACTCCACAAAACTGGTGAGGGAAGAGTTAGAGAATAGATCATTGATACCATTTTGTAAATCACTAGAGTCTTAAAAAATCTGATTAATTTTTTTTTTACCTGAAGGTAGTAAAATGAATTGCTTTCCCATAAGACCTCTTTAGAATAAATAAAAGATCACCATTCTATGGATTGTTATTTTTGTGTGTTCTTTTATGTTGCTTCTGACCTTTCTTGTTCTATTTGGATGTAGGTCCATGAGGGCACAACATTTAACTTG